ACATGCCCCTAAGGTTTGAATAAAACTTTAAGGTTGTGAATAAGTGGTAATGCTAATAAAAATAGTAATATTAGTATGGTAGTAATAGTAATGGTAATAAAAATAGTATGTTACTCATAAGGTTTTTTGAGGTCTTGCAAAAAATGTGGCTCTTTGAGAACAGATATTTAATCTTACTAGTTTTCCTATGCTTAGCACCTAGCATGAGGCTGGGCACAGTTTATGTAGTTGAGAAATTGTACAATTCACGAGTAGAATGGTAATGGTAATAGTGGTAGTATTAGTAACAGTAGTATTAGTAATAGTCCTAATACTGGTACTAATGGTTTGATACATTAGTGGTACTGATGGTTTTGTCCTTTTAGAAGTCAGCTACCTTACTCTATTTTCAGCCAGTGGCCTATAGAGGGCTGTAGAGCAAAGGGTTTCAGAGACATACCTTTAGTTGGTGTTCCTATCCAGTTGAGATAGCGTGTGAGCTTCGTGGAGATGTAGGTCTTTCCTCGAGCTGGTAAACCCACCATGATCACCATTGTAGGGGAATTTGTAAACTGGGGTATGGATGCTGGAAGACAAACAGAGCCTCAAATATTATCCCCAGGTTCACATGATATTCTGGTATCAGCTCAGAGATGAAGAATTGGAAAGAACATCTCTCCCACCATTATAACAAGGGAAAACACCTGGAAAATTGCAAATTGTCTTTTGAATTCATGAGAAAACTGAGATTGCAGTGCAAATAGCTGAGTTCAAATCTATAGAGACAGGCATCCACAAGGAGCAACAGGGCTCAGGTATTTGCTTATCTTTTGCAAATAGTAATGAATAACATATAAACTCTTCAAAAGATTTAACTAAATTTTGTTAATTAATTGTTAAAAGTTGGTTGTGGGCTAGAGTGAGAATATGAAGCCCCTGGAGGCTGCAGACATAGGTGGTTTTGAATATCCTCCTGCAGACTTTTTCTCTAGGAATTCCAGCAGGTGCTGACAAGGAGCACTGAGAAGAATCCTGAGAAAGATATCTTGTAGTTCTGGTTTGGGAAGAGAAACAAAACAAAACAAAAAAAGCAGTCATTGCTGAAATTGTGCTCAGACCATTTTCCCTATATACCATATGGAACAAAAGCCTTAATCTTCACAGGGAAGGGCAATAAAACTAGCTTGAGAACAGTGTTGGAAATTCACTGCAGCTGGCAGATGCACAATACCACTGAAGCTCTGCCCAGACCAATCTACTCTATCTTCCCTAAGGAAAATAAGCCTTAATTTGCAGAAGGAACTGAGGACACTGGTGGAAACTCACTGCAGGTAGAGAAGAAAAATGGGAAAAAATGCTTTAATCCAGGAGGGACAGGAATATGTGCTAGACCCACCTTTATATTTAGAGGAGGGGCGATTTGGGAAATGACTCCATGACTCAGGATAAACCTGCCTAAGACTGAGGCTTAATCAGAATAACATAGAATGTCCCTAGTCCCCTATTCCCCCCCCACTAGGTTAAAAGAAATAAAAAAAAATCGTGGACTATATTTTTAAAGGATGCAAGAGATAAATTGTCTCCAGGGAGCAGTACAAAGGGACGAATCAAGGCAAGAAAAAAACATAGTCTGAAGAGACAGAAAAATAATCATCAGGACCAGACTCAGTTATGACCCACATGATGGAATTTCAGACAGGCAATTTAAAATAGCTATGATTAATATGTTAAAGGCTTTATTGGAAAAGTTAGACAACATGCAAGATCACATAGGTAATTTCAGCAAGGGGATGAAAAGTATAAGAAAAAATCAAATGTAAATGCAAGAGAAAAAAATACATTAACAGATCTGAAGAATGCCTTCAATGTACTCATAAGTGAACTTGACATAGCTGAGGAATCAGTGACTTTAAGGTAGATCAAGAGAAATGCACAGAGGGAAAAAGAGTAAAAAAAGGAAAACAACAAAACATCCAAGAACTTTGGGACACTATCAAGTTAGAATACCAGAAGGAAAAGAGAGAGAGAATGGAGAAGAAATATTTAAAGAAATTATTGCCAAAGTTTTTCAAAATTAGTGGTTGATATACACCACAGATCCAAGTATCTTAGAGAACAACAAGTAGGGTGAATAAAATTTTTAAAAGAACCACACCCCACTCAGACATATCAAATTCAAACTGCAGAAAGTCAGGCAAAATAAAATCCTGAAGGCAACCAGGAAACAGGGGTGGAGGGAACACCTGACCTAGAGAGGAAAAAAGAAGAATTACAGTAGACTTATTATCAGAAGCCACATAAACAAAAAGATAATGGAATGAAATCTTTAAAGTATTTAAACTTTAAAAAAAGCCCCACCAATCCAATTCTAAATTCAGCAAAAATGCCCTTCAAAATTAAAGGCAAAATAAAGACTTTTTTCAGACAAATAAAAACAGGAAATTCATTACCAGCATACTTGCCTTATAAGAAATATTAAAGGACACTATTTAGGCAAAAGGGATATGATATAGGTCAGAAATTGGATCTATATAATTAAAGTAAGAGCATTGGAAAAGGAATAAATGAGGGCAAAATATATCTTTTTATTTTCCATATTCTTAATTGTTCTAAAAAATGACTAATTAATGTGAAGAAATGGGAACCCTTATGCACTGATGGTGGGAGTATAAATTGGTGCAGCCACTATGGAAAACATTGTGAGGACCCTCCAAAAAGTTAAAAATAGAACTGCCATATGATCCAACAATTTCACTTCTGGGTATTCACCTGAAGAAAACAAAAACACTGATTCAAAAAGATACATGCACACCATTGTTCATTGAAGCATTATTTACAATAGCCAAGATATGGAAGCAACCTAACTGTCCATCAATAGACAAATGGATAAAGAAGATGTATGTATATATGTATATATATACGTATATATATATATGTGTGTGTGTGTGTGTGTGTGTATACACACAATGCACATATTTACAAATACATACAAGGGAATATTACTCAGTCATAAAAAATGAAATCTTGCCATTTGTGACTACGTGGATGGATCGAGAGAGTATTATGTTAAGTGAAATAAATCAGACAGAGAAAGACAAATACCATATGATCTCACTTATATGTGAAATCTAAAAATTAAAACAAACAAGCAAAACAAAATGAAAACAGACTTGTAGATACAGAGAACAAAGGGATGGTTGCCAGAAAGGAGGGGGTGGAGGTGAATAGGTTGAAGAGGATTAAGAGGTACAACCTCCAGCTATAAAATGAATAAGCCACAGGGATGTAGTTTACAGCATAAGGAATATGGTCAATAATATTGTTATAACTTTGTTTGGGGACAGATGGTTACTAGACTTATCATGATGGTCATTTCATACTGTATGCAAATATCAGTAAACCTGAAAACTAACATAACATTGTATGTCCACTATATTTCAATTAAAAACCTGACTGTTTAAAGCAATAATAGTAACAATGTATTGGCATTTATCACATATGGAAAAATGATATGAATACAACAGTGACACAAGGAAAGGAAGGAATTGGGAATATTCTATTGTAAGGTACTTGTACTACATGTGAAGTGATGTAGTGTTATTTGAAGTTGAACCCAAATTATTTTAAACTGTACATTGTAAACCCTAGAGGAATCACTAAAAGGGTAATAAAAAAGATGTATAAATGACAGGTAAATAGAGGAGAAAAAATAGGATCACAAAAAATGCTCAAATAGAATGAGAAAAGTTGAGAGAGAGAATAAACAAAGAACAAATGCAATGAATAGATAAATAGCAAGATGGTAGATTTTAATCCACCTATATTAATAATCACTTTGAATGTGAATTATCTAAACATAGCAATTAAAAGACAGATTGTCAGAGTGTATTAAAAAGGAAGACTCAATTATATACTATCTACAAAACACATACAACTGTGTCCAGATCTGGGACCTTCTTTTATATCTCACAAACTCAAATATAAAACCTTGATAGAATGCAGGGACACCTATTTGAAAACAGGAAAGTATATATAGGAAAGTGGATTGGAAAAAACACCAGAGTTTGAAAATATCACCTAAACAGTTATGAGTTAAACATTATTTGTTTCCTCCCAGCACCTTGAGCCTGAATTGAACATGATATGAAACCCAGAAGGGAATATTGTTTAGAAAATTTCAATACAGAAGAAGCCTGGATGTTCTGGCCTGGGTAGTGGAAAAGAGAATTCCTAAAGTTCAGACAGAATATGGGAAATTCCTTAGGTTTTTATTTATTCTACTTCTGTTTTGGTCCTATAGTGGGAGTAGTGATAGCAAAGGTAGTCTGGAAGCAAGAGTAGTACATAAAGGGACCCTCCAGGAATCGAAACTCTCACAGATAAGGTCATTTCTCTAGGTGGAGCCATGGCATCAAGGGGACAAAACTAAACTTCATGCTAATTTTCCTCTTTCTCTCTCCTCCTGCAGCTTGTTTCTAGAAGTGATAAGCCAAGAGAGTGGAAGGTTTCTGAACAGACGACAGAAAATGGGAGCCTAGGGAACTGGAAAGTACTGAAAAAATACAGGAGAGGGAACAGTTTAGAAGAGCAATTGCAAGAAGTTGTTTTCAACTCCTGGGCTCATGTTTTATCTGTGAGTGCTTTGATGTGATCCTAATTAGCATACCAAAGATCTGGAATCTGAACTAGCAAGTATATGCCCTTACCCAAGCTCCACACTGACCACTAGGTAGTGCACACACAAGCCTGACCTAAATAGTACTACAAAAGTTTTGAAAACTTAATTTCATGTTAGAACTACAACACACAGAAAGGTAAAAAAAAAAATCAATCTACACAGGATAAAAGCAATACTCTTGGTCTCAAATGATATTTACAATGTCCGAGATACAAACTAAAATCAACCAACATACAAATAGCCATGAAATTTCAATGCACATGTTAAAAGACATGGTATGTGCATATGATAAAAGACATGATAAACAGACATGAATAATGAGACATGAATAATGAGATGACACAGATGTTGGAATTCTCTTAACCTAGTATAAAAATTCTTGAATGAGCAAACACAAGCAATCTTGAAACAAATATTAAAATAGAAAGACAGCAAAGAAACAGTAGATAAACAAGAATCAAGTAGAAATTTTAAAATTGAAAAGCACGATAACAAAACAAAAACCCTCACTGAATAGACTCAGTGGCAGAGTAAAAATGATAAGAGTCAGTAAACTGAAAGATTCATCAACAGAAACCATCCAATATGGACAACAGAGAGATAAAATATTGAAAAAGGAGAATAGAGATCCAGGGACCTGTGTATTGAAAACAATGACTAATATTCACATTACTGGAGTTCCAGGTGGAGAAGAGAAAGAAGAGAACATGAAAACGTATGTGAGAAAATTAGGACAGAAAACTTACCATACTGACGACAAATATTAGCTTGAGATTCAAGGAGCTAAGCAAATACTAAATAGCATAAAACCATAAGAACTCATCTAGACACATCATAATCAAACTGCTGAAAACTAAAGAAAAGGAAATAATTTTGAAAGTAGTTGGAAAAAATGACACATTACTTGT